TTTGTTTTGGGAAGCAGGGGAGAAAACGAACGAGTTTTGCTCAGTTGTGTGATTTTACTTTAGAATTGTGGTGCTCTTGCCATTGCTTTCAGAGTACAGGATATTTCAGGTGTACACAAAATATACATTGTATGTCCCTCTTATTTATGTTAACTTATGAATTCTTTGTTTTCTATTTAAGTATTATCTATTATTAATTCTTATATTCAATATTTAGTGTATGAAAATAAGCTGTCATGTGTATGAGTGAAGGGTACAACAGCATTTTATTATCACACAGATGTCTCAATACCCTAACATGGTTCTTTGGAATGAATGCCTTTTTTCTTCTTCCATACACATAACATCTATGAGGTACCACTGCCTAAATAGCAAGAAAGGGTTTTGTCTGGAGTTCTCCACTTATTTATTTCATTATGAGGTCTACAATTAAACATTGAGTCACATTCTCAGCACTTTTTTGTATTTAATTTAGAGAAGAGATCTTGCTGAGTTGCTAAGTGCCTCATTAAGTTTCTGAGACTGGCTTTATCATCATGAGTTTAAAAGTTTTCACCACTTCTGTGGCTTATTTGCTTTTAAAAAATATTTTTTTAGTTGTTGACAGAGCTTTATTATTTATTATTATGTGGTGCTGAGAGTCGAACCCAGTACCTCACACATGCCAGGCAAGTGTGCTTCTATGGAGACTCAGCCCCAGCCCTGATTATTTGCTTTTTAGAAGCATCAACATTCACGTTGATAATTTCTTCTGTGGTATGTTAATTTTCAATAGCTTCTAATTTTGCTCTTTTGCTTAGATTTTCTTTCCTCTTATTTTTACAAAATGTACTTTTCCAACTATTGAGATAGATAATTTTCTAACAAATTCTTAGTCATTTTATGGCTTACTAAGTTATTTTTTTTTTACCCTTGACTTTAGATGCATCCCACTTTTTTACAGCCTTATGGAGGTTGAATTGGCAGATATTTACCTGTATTTATCTTAGATGTATATTTTTATCTTTTTGTATATGTACAAATCCATGATACCAAAATCAACAAAATTATCATATCCATTACTATAATGTCTCCTAGTGTTACTTTAGATCCCTCATTTTACTCTTCCCTACAACATTTTACATAATAAATCTGATCTTCTTGAGCACAGTAAGAACAGGTAAACATCAAAATGATAAGAGATCTTTGAATTCCCACAAAGTAAACTAACCATGTATTATTTCATACATCAAGAAGTTGAACATTAAAGGTGTCCTGAAAGTCACTTCATGCTCTCTTCCTCTTAATATACCTCCATAATCCCCAATGGTAATTTCTCTTTTTGTTTTCTATATAGTGCTATTTATTTCTTTCCAAAAAAAAAAAAGCAAAAAATAATAAAAGAAGTGTTACTCTCTTTAGTCAATACAAAAAGGGGAATCTGTTTGGTTCTTTTAAACCCTGACCCCACCTCAGCCCACTGTTCTCTGATAGAGGATTGAGGTAAATCCTGATACGTGGAAGGAGGGGGCTGAGGCAGGACACAATGCTGGGACCTGTTAAGAGAGGCTACCAGAGAATAAATAGTAGGATGCAGAAAAAGAGCAAGGAAGAGGAGAAGGGAAATTGGAAACCAGGGTGAAGCTCAAATGGAACAGGCCAGCTGGTGTAACAATGGTAGAGTAAGCAGGTCAGCATCTAGATAGGTGGGAATACAAAGCCTGGATTTTAACAAGTGGCATCTCTGGGGCAGCTCTCCAAGCTACAAGCAGGTAAAATGTTCACTTCAGTAGTTTTTTCCCACTCTCAATTCCCAAGGGGAAGCCCTTCCCAAACCCACTGGAAGGTTCTACTGCTGTCACCACAGTTTCTGATTTCTGCCAATTGGGCTTCACTTTATCCTCTTCTTTATCTTCTGTATCCTATTTATTCCCCTCTACATCCTCATCAGATAATTTTTTCTCCTAATCCCCCTTCTCATTCTTTATTTTGGTCTTTCAACCTTGCATCATTCTTCATTTTCTTCTTATTCTTCAGTTCCTTGGCATTAAAAGAGCACTACCTCGTGATTTTCTCTGTGGTAAAGTGGTGTTTAGACTTGTTTGAAAACTGGGTCTCAGTGTCCAGGTTGAAGAATCCTGGACAGAAGAGTGTGGTGGATGCTGGAGGAATAGTTCCCAGTGGTGAAGGCAGCAGTGGTGGGGGCCAGGTAGAGCATTTCCATAGAATACCTTTCCACTTCAGTTCTGTGTGGTTTAGAATTAATGGTTCATCGTATATGCCTTAGTAGATAGTACCACCCCATTTTCCAAAGTGCCATTACCTTTTACCTTGCCAGAGCAGGCTGGGCAATTCCAATCATTTAACATGTCTGTTACCATTAGTCTCTTCTGTGTGTTTTATTCTTCTTTTTTTCTTCCTGTAAATGTACAATAGTTTCTGTTGGCTTAAATTTTAGCTCCTCAAATAGTATTGCTTTGTACTCATGTTCATAAATTTATGTGTCATTTGAATGTTTCCTCCTATGTGATTTTTAAAAAATTTATCATTTCTGCTGTACTATGTTGAGATATATCTTCCCCAAAGAAGTAATTGAGATTGGGTTTCTCAATATTTTGTGTTATTAAAAAAATGACAATAATACCTCAAATGAAGGAAGACCCTTCTTCACTATATGGCCAAGGTCTTCTGACTCATAGGTTACTGATCACACTATGTCTTTAATGTTTTTAAGAGATCTCCAAGGACTATACATTGTTTCTCATTTGTATATACCCTTAACACTTTATATGTGTCAGACAAGCCTATAGGAGGTCCTGTCATGAGGCTGTTTTAACTTTTCAAAGGCATCTTGAAATTCTGGTGCAGAGTCAACATTTTATTTGAACTCTGTAAGGCCTCACATAGTTTACCTATTAGTCTGAAATTAGGTACCCAAATATGGAAGCATCTTACTATTTTATTTAGCTTTTTTATGGCTGTGAACAAAATTAAGTACAAAAAAAATTTAGAGGAGGAAGAGTTTACTTGGGGGCTCAAAGTTTCAGAGGTCTCAGTGCAGACATGGCTAACTTCATTCCTCAGGGTCTGGAATGAGAAAAAAACACCATGGCAGGAGAGTGTGGGGGAAAAAAGAAGGTGAAAAGATGTTGCCAGGAAACAGAGAGCGCTTTGCTCATCAGAGAGAAAATATAAACTCCAAAGGCCTGACCCCATGGACACTTCTCCTTTTGCTATACGGTATTTGCCTCTAGTTACCATTCAATCCTTATCAGAAGATTAATTCACTGAATTTTCACAAGGATTTTTCAAATAAGACAATTCTCTCAAAAACAAAGTGAGCTAAAACATTCTTTAAAGATTGCTGATGTAAACAAGCAGAGTTCTCAGGATTAAGAATTCTTTTTTAAAATTTTCTATTTGTTTTAATTAGTTATATATGATAGTACAATGACTTTGACATATCTTACATTTGAATCAGATGGGATATAATTTCCTATTCTTCTGAGTGTACAGGTTGCAGAATCATATTGGTCATGCAGTCACATACCCAAAGGACCTAAAAACAGCATACTACTATAAACACAGCCACATCAATGTTTATAGCAGCATAATTCACAATAGCTAGACTGTGGAGCCAACCTAGATGCCCTTCAGTGGATGAATGGATAAAAAAAAAATGTGGCATTTATACAATGGAATATTACTCAGCACTAAAAAATAATAAGATCATGGCATTTGCAGGGAAATGGATGGCATTAGAGCAGATTATGCTAAGCGATGTTAGCCAATCCCAAAACACAAATGCTGAATGTCTTCTCTGATATAAGGGGGAGGGTGATTCAAAATGGGGTAGGGAGGAAGACCATGGGAAGAGGACTAAGAATTCTGTAGAAAACTGGAAAGAGGAGAAATTAAAAGATGAATAGGATAAAGCACAGAACTGGAAATCTGGAGAAGATTTCCTAGTAAATACAGACAGTGCAACATGACTCTAAAATGAGGAAATTCTAAATTAATCAAATATTATAGAAAAGCTGGACTAGTGGTTAGAGATTTCGCACTGGAAAAGACCCAGGATCATGGGGCTCACAGCAGAGTTTTACCTGATCTTAACAAATTATAATTTTATTTCTAATGTTCATGATCTAGAAAAAAGAAGAGAGAAAGAGATAACTTTACTAAATTCATTTTATGGATATCAAAGCCTGATAGGGTCAAGATATTTCATTCAATTCAGGATGTCAATGTTTATATAACAGACACTATTATGTGCACCTGCTGCAGTCGGCTGGCTGGGCAAAATAGTGCGGGGGGGTGATAAGCAACTTGTGAAGGTTGAAACAGCGGGAGCCTTTTTATTGCGAGATAGCAGAGGTATTTATACACAACTGAATACACAGCTGGACTCAATTTAGCATCATCCAGTTACAGCAATAAATATACACAGCTTAACTTAATTAACATCATCTTAATGGCTCACTGGTGTTACTTACTTCTCAAACCACTCCTCCTGGCAAAGTGCCAGGGGCCATCTTGACTTGTCTGTGGCCCTTAACATGCACCATTAAAAACATACTGCCAATTAGTGCACTGAGGCACCGACCAGGGCAGCTGCTCAATCTAGCCCAGTGGGGTCAGAACCTGGAGTAGAGGGAGGTTCAGAAGGATGGTGGGGTAAGAAGGCAGGGATCTTGAGGAGAGTCAAAGGGACAACAGTAGTGAGAGGCAGCAACCTTAGGGGAAACTAGCTCAGAGCCCCTACATCTCCGGCCTTCTATCCCCATATCCCACCCAGAGAAAGATGAATCTGAAGCTCAGCAGAGGCAGATAGCCTGCCTAAGCCACCACCCACCAGGAGCCACACTGAATCTAGGGAAAAAAGTCCACCGACCACCACTACCTGCTCTGCACCAGCTGCCCTAAAGTGCTGATGTTTTAGTCAGACTTTTTTTGTTGCTGTGACTAAAGGACCCAACCAGAACACCTGCAGAAGAGGAAAAGTTTATTTGAGGGCTCACCGTTTCAGAGGTCTTAATCCACAGAGGCCAGCTCCACTCCTCGGGATTCAAGGTGAAGCAGAACATCAAGGCAGAAGAGTGTGGCAGACAGCACCGACTCATGTCATGATCAGAAGGCAGAGAGAGGAAATTCACTCTCCAAATACAAAATACATAACCCACAGGCACACCCCAAATGAATCCTTCTATCTGGGCCCACTCGACCTGCATCCAGTTACCACTCAGGTAACCCCATCAGGAACTAATTCACTGAGGAGGTTGAGGCTCTCTAACCCCATCATTTTGCCTCCAAACCTTCTTGTATTGTCAGAAGGTGAGCTTTTGGAGGACACCTCACAACCACATCAAAACCGCTGCAGGAGTGGGAGGTATTCACTGTTGACACCTGTTATGACAGAAGAGGTGAGGCATCTCCCTGAGGCGGCTCGGCAAAGGGGACCTCAGGCTTTCTAACACACAAATCCCACAAGGACTATCAAGCACTCCCTCACGCTGCTCTGAGAAGAAAGCTCAGGGTGTCCCTACACACAGACGCACAAGGGTTCCCAAAAAGGGCACCTCCCTCACGCTGCTCTCAGGAGGGAGCTCTGGGTGTCCATAAAGAGAGGCTCAAGAGATCCCAAAGCTGGGTTTCTCCCTCAGGCTGTTCTGAGAATGGGGGAGCTCTGGGGGTCCTAAAGACAGACCCAAGGGTCCCCCAAGCTGGGCACCTCCCTCATGCTGCTTTGAGGAGGGAGCTCTGGGTGTCCATAGAGACAGACCCACGAAGTCCCCAAGCGGGAGCGGGGGCTCCCTAATGCTCTTCTGAGGGAGCAATGGGTGTCCCTAGAAACAGACGCATGAGGTCCCCAAGCCGGATGTCTCCCTCACACTGGATTCTCGGATGAGGAGAGAGCTAGAGCTGTCCCTATACAATACACAGATCCACAAGGTCCCTAAGCCTGGCATCTCCCTAACGCTGCCCTGAGGATGGAGTTCAGGGTGTCCCTAGAGACAGACCCATGAGGCCCCCAGGTCAGGCATCTCCCTCACAGTGCTCTGAGGAGGGAGCTCTGTGTCCTACACATAAACACACTAGGTCCCCAAGCAGGTG